TGTGCTCCCGGCTCCTTGGGAAACATATTTGAGAAAGGTGGGAAGCAAAGACGCCACAGTCAAAGGACAGAAACAGTGAGGGGAGCAGTTGGTGGGAGCTGGAGGCTGTGAACGGCACAATCTGTCATCCCCATTTGTTGATCTCGCATGCCATCCTTCAGTTGGCACCGAGACTGCCAGGAACCACCCCCTTCCTTTTCCCTCTGAAAGCAGGGAGAGCGGCACTGGGACAGCATTAACTCTTCCTGCCCCGCAGCCACTTCAAACCGAACCATCCACACCGTGCTGTGACCCACACACATTTAGATGTGGGAAGGACCGGGGGGGGGGGGGGGAGGGCGGATTTTAGAAAAAGCAGCACTTGGTCTGTGCCGATGAATTCACAGGTTTCCAGCAGCTGAGCTCTGATAGGTGGTGGAGGTTCCCCAGACCAGAGGAACCCAACAAGTGGGGAAGGAAGAAAGAAGGTGGCGCATGCCTTTAATCCCAGCACTCAGAGAGGCAGAGGTAGGTGGATCTCTGTGAGTTCGAGACCAGCCTGGTCTACAGAGGAGTCCAGGACAGCTAGGGCTACACGGAGAAACCCTGTCTAGAAAACAAAACAAACAAACAAAAAACAGAAAACCACCACTGAGCGAGCGTTCTTCACAATGCAGCGGTTGATATTTGGGGAGTAAATGGACCGGTCCTAACAATGATTTAGCAAGATGAATAAGCTGTTTGTTTAAATTCCTCAGACAACATTTTACATGACTTATTTGCTGTCTCTTTTAATGTTCCCTTGTGGGGAATGCAACTAACATGGCTGTTGTGAAATGGGGGAGGAGCTTACTATCTGGTATGAGATGCTACCAACAGCTTCATTCCGATGACAAAGATGGACGGTACCAGTTTTAGAGACTTGGTTTGCGTATGTCTATTGAACGTTGTGTGCAGGTTAATTTTGTTGATGTTTTTGTCAACTTGGCACAAGCTAGGGTCATCTGGCAAGAGAGAACCTCACTTGAGAAAATGCCTCCATTAAATTGGGCTGCAGGCAAGCCTGTGGGGCATTTTCTTAACTGATACTTGATGTGGGAAAATCCAGCCTCCGGTGGGTAGTGCCACTCTTGGGATGGTATAAGAAAAGTGTCTGAATGTGAGTGAGCCCGGGAACTAGCCAGGAAGCAGCACTCCTCCATGGCCTCCACTTCAGTTCCTGCCTCCAGGTTCCTGCCCTGACTGCCCTCCCTGATAGACCAGGATGTGGAAGTGTAAGCCCAATAAATCCTTTCTTTCCTGCATTGCTTCTGCTCATGGTGTTTATCAGAGCAGAGAGCGACCTGCTTAGAATGCCTTGGAACCCTGCCAGCACATCGAAGGCCCCTGTGATGGCTGTTTACGCCACTGCTACAGCCAGTATTCATCGTTTTGGAAGTAGAGCTTATACAGTATCAGTCAGAGGCATATCAAAGTTTGCAGAAATTCTGCTAACAGCCACTGGCTTGGAAAATAGGAAGCAGACAGTTCTATCAAGGAAATGAGGTTTTGGAAATCCCCTCCCCTGCCCTGCTTTTCTGTTGCACCTGGCCTGGGTGTTAGAGATCTGTCTCCTCAGTCCCTCACTTTGAGAGCCCTCTGCCTTCCACATCAGGAATGGCTCAAAGTTGCTGTGCAGTGAGATCCAAGTGTCTCAGGGAAATCCCATGTAGGTTTAAGGCCAACAGGCCTCAGTTTCTTTGGAGAGTACCAATGGCCAAGCATTTGACTCCATGAGATACCTGGAAACCCGGCACCATGAGACTGTCCCACAGAGACCTTTTACAGACCACCCCAGCCCTGTCCACACAGCAGATGCACACAGCCAGTGTTCTGTGGCATTCCAAGGTTGATCTCAAGTTCGTTTGTGATAATCCTGCTGCTTCCTGGTACCCTCCTCCCCATTCCTTCTTTCATTACTTTTTTCCCCTTGAAATGTTTTATTAATTGTGTGTGTGTGTGTGTGTGTAGGCATAAGCATGCCATGGCACACATGTGGAGCTAACTTGGGGGAGGTAGCTTCTCTCCATGTACTATGTGGGTTCTAGGGGTTGAACTCAAGTCTTCAAGCTTGGCAGCAAGTGCCTCTACCCATCCCCACCAAAGCCATCTCTCTTGCCTCTATCCCTCTGTCTGACTCCCCCCCCCCATTTTCTTTCTTTTTTTCTCTTTGCCTCCCTCTCTCCTTCCTTTTTCTCTGTGCTCTCCCCCTCCCCCTTTTATCCTCTCTTCCTCCCTCCTTCCTTTCTCCCCTTCTCTACTTTTTTCCTATTTGTCTTCCTTCCTTCCTTCCTTCCTTCCTTCCTTCTTTCCTTTCTCTTTTCTCTCTTGTCTTACTATGTCTCAAAGGCTGGCTTTGGTTTTAAACTCACAGTCCTTGTGGGTGCTGGGGTGGATTCTAGGTAAGCAATCCTACTCCTGGCTTTAAGCCTCCTTTTTCTACATCCTCTGAATCTGTTGGGTCTGCCCTGCAGTTCAGTGCAGTTAGCTAAGATGTTGGTGCCCTCTAATTATCCCATGCCTGTGACTCACTCATTCAGCATCATGACAGTTGCCAGGGGTCCAGAGGCCCTGGGTCTCCCATGGCTCCCTAGCCAGAATTCATCTCCTTTGCTGTCTCGCTCTTTGCAAAGGTGTTTCCACCTCCTAGATTAGCCTGGGCTTGTCGGGTAGGTTGTAAGCCGTTCAGAACACTGCCATCCTGGCCTCTGTGTGCACACCCCAACTCCTGCCCATCTAAGCGTTAGCTGGGAAATGAACATTTTATTTCTAGAGGTGGAGCAGAAGCAGGCTCTCCTAATTGGATGGCTGCTGGGTGCTGAGTTGAACTGTCTCTGAAAACGACACCCCCCCCCACAGGCTCCAGTCCTTGCCACAGTGTTGGGCTTTGCCCCTCCTTCATGATGGCAACACTAGCAGCCATGCTGCTGCCCCTGACAGTGTCACAAGCATTTCTTCAAGAACGGGCAGGAACAAGTTGGCCTTGGCAGATTTGTCTCCAGCGAATCAAAAGGTGTCCTTTGCCCTCACTCTGCCTTTGCCTCTTTGCCGAGTCCAACCTCCTGCACTGGACCTCAGGATCCCACCTTGTACCTCATTAAAAATGTGCTTTGGTCCCGCCCCCTTCCTTAAGGCTGGTGTAACTGCTGATCTACCAGCAAAGCCAGAATGATGGAAACCCCCCCCCAACCCCTGTTAGTGCCATAAATCCTTAACTATCTGCAAGCGGGCAGGGCAGAGGAGAAAAACCAATGGCCACTGTGGGAGGACCCCAGGGTCCAGGAAACTCTGGGGTCAAGTCCTGTTCCACTTTGGCTAGCCATGGGACCCACACAGCTTCTTCAATACCCAGGGTAAAAGGGCTTGGTGTATGGCACACTGAATACCACACCTAGCCCAGCGATGGCCCTTAGCAAGGACTCCTTTATCGCTTCCTTCCACGTGACCTCACCTACTCACCATCCCCTGGACCCTTAGCAAACTGTTCATTTGACACAGGGTGTCATCGAGCTCACATGGCCTCAGACTTACTGTATAGTGGAGCGTGATGACCTTGAACCCACGACCCTCTCCCTCAGTGCTGGGATTACAGGCAAGCAGCCCATGCCCAGTGAGGCCATACTCACCTCTGTGTCCTGAATTTTAAGTTTCTCAGTTTATTTTTTTATTTTTTTTTTCCTTTTCGCCTATTTTTTTCCCCTTCATGCTTCTGCTTTCTTCTTTTTTTACTCTCTAGCTCAGGCTACCTGGAATTTGCTTTGTAGCCCATTCTGGACTTGAACTCAAGGCAGTTCCCCCATCTCAGCATCTCATGTCCAGATCTCACTTTAAAAAAAAACAAAACAAAACACACTTTTAGAGCTTTGAGAGGGTTATTTCACTTGGTATGTACTTGCCTAGTGTGTATGCACAAAGCTCTGGGTCCAGTTCCCAGTACCAAATAAACTGGGTTTGGTACCACACACCTGCAATCCCAGCACTCAAGAGGTAGAGTTCAAGGTCATCTTTGGCTACATAGAAAATTCAAGGCCAGGGGCTGGAGAGATGGCTCAGTGGTTAAGAGCACTGTCTGCTCTTCCAAAGGTCATGAGTTCAATTCCCAGCAACCACATGGTGGCTCACAACCATCTATAATGTGAGTTGATTCTCTCTTCTGGCAGGTCTAAATGCAGATAGAACACTCATATACATAAAATAAATAAATCTTTAAAAAAAAAAAAAAGAAAAGAAAATTCAAGGCCAGCCTGGGATGCATGACACCATATCTTAAGAAAGGCCAGTGAATAAAAACACATTTATTATATGGCACATATACAGAAAAGCACATTCACATATGTGTAAGCTAGGAAACAGTTTTAAAAGCGTCAATGTTGTAGCCACCACACAGGCCCAGAAGTACAGACACTGTTTTACTATGGGGTCCCTCAGTAGCACAGTGGTTCTGGGCGTGGACTGCATGAGGAGACACTGTCTCAGACAGACAGACAGACAGACTTTGCTGCCATTATGACAGTGCTGAATCCAAGAAGCCCTGCTATAACCCATTCCACTATAAGGAAATGCTTGATTTTTGAGTACCCTTCTTCAGTGGGGAGTTGGGAGCGTTGAGGGGTAAGAGTAGTTCTGTGTGTGTGTGTGTGTGTGTGTGTTTTAAAGGATTTGGATGCTCAAGAACTCTATTAGCTTCAAAACTTCAATGCACACGACCTATTTAGCTCACTCAACTAATTGTTCCCAGGGAATGTTTTAAAGACCACCCAGATTTGAGATGAAGGTTCTCATTCCTTCAGGGCCACAAGTGCTTACTAATCTGTCACTTTGCGCCCATCTTGGGACTCAAACACTGCAAGACTTTGTGTAAGCCAGATGTGACCCATTTTGCTATTAGTTAAGTTGTGAATAAATTAAACCACACTGTATTCTTTCCAACTAAGGTCCCAGCTCCTTTGTGCTTGTAACACTCTGTCTTTTGTTTATTGCAGGATTTAGTAATTCGAATTGTTTTTATCCTTGGCAACCTGACAGCAAAAAGTAACCAGGCCCGGGAACTTTTCTCCAGAGAGAGTGGGAGCATGGAAACTCTGCTTACATTGTTTCAGAACTTCTACCAACTTGAGGAGCACTCCTCAAGGCCTGGGCCCTCAGGAGCCAGGCCACAGACAGAGGCCGAGGATGTGCTGGTTAAGCTGATCCGCGTCCTAGCCAACATAGCCATTCACCCGCGCATCGGCCCAGTTCTGGCGGCCAACCCTCAGGTGGTGGGCCTGTTGCTGACCGTTCTGGGTGAGAGCTGCAGCCCCAGGACAGATCTGTCAGAGGGCTGTGGGGAGATCTTGGCTCACTTTAAGGAACAGCGTTAGCTGTGGAAAGGAAAAACACTCTTGGGGGTTTGGGTGAGTTGATAGAGTGCTTGCCTGGCACATACAGCCTGGGGTTCAGTCTTCAGCTGAACTTACACCACGAGTGGTGGCCATGTCTGTAATCCTAGCACTTGGGGAATAGAGACAGGGAGGTTGAAGGCCAGCCTGGGCTATATGAGACCTCTCTGAGAACCAAGCCAAACCCACCACCACAAAACCTTTTGGCAGAGTAGTGCATTAACACATCCCAGATTTCAAAACCAGAAGACCAATGGTGACATAAATCCTTACCAAAAGACATAATCACTTTAAATCATGCCCTTTAAAGGGGTAAAATTTGGGCTGCTGAGAGGGCTCACCAAGGGCTTATGGCCAGGTTCTGCTGCAGGAGCCACAGAGCTGCATGTTGTCCTATGACGTCCACACATGTGTTGTGGGCTGTGGCACAAAATACATAAGTAAACTATTAAAAGGTTAAATCTTACGGTTGGGGGTTGGGGAATCACATCACAACTTAAAACAGTTTTACCAATCAAAAGAGCAAAGAACAGCCAAATGTTTAAAATTCTAATTCTTTTCACCAGAATCAGTCCGTGTGAAGAGGGTTCATCTCCTTTTCCAGTTCTTGTGTTACCCATAATTATGTCCCACCTTTCTGGTTTACTGTGCCACAACAGAAATTGATTTTGATTCGTGTACACATGTGTCTATGAGCATATGCCAGGCGTGCAGGACTTATGGAGGCCAGCGGGGGGCCGTCAGAGCCTTCAGATCCGGAGTTACACGTGATTGTGAGCTGCCAGACATGGGTGCTGGGAACGGAACTCTGGCCCTTTGGAAGAGCAGGAAGCGCTCTGAGCTGCTCAGATACCTCTCCAGGCTCCCACACAGACGTTTATTTTGCACGTGTCTGGAGGCTGAGGACCATCATCAGTGTGGCAGCCGATTCCGCCCCTGGAGGGAGCTCCCCTGGCCGTAGCTGGTGCTTCCCCGATCACTGGACGCTTTGCTTGCATGGCCTTTCTTTGATGGGGGCTATGTTGGGATGGGGAGAGAGTCTTTCTGTCTCTCTTTTTCTTTCTATTTTTTGGGTAAAAAAAAAAAAAAGAGAAGTCATCCAAAAATCTTGAGACCCTTTCTATGTGAACTTCCCAGTGACATAACCTTCTCCATGAGACTCTCTGCCTCTTACTGCTTAGCCACCACAGGCTGGGAACACAATGTTTAACACATGGGCTTTCAGAAGAACCTCATCCAGACCATACAACAATCACGTCTCAGTCCTGAAAGCCCCAAACCTAGAGTTACTAGGGCCTTCCTCTCCTTCACAATGGCATCTAGTCTTCAGGTACACTGGTCTCTGCCATGTCTAAGGGGTGTCATGTCTTCGGTGGTCCCCAGAGATGAGTTTGGAGGTGGAGTGAGAGACAGGGACAAAAATTACTCAGGGTCTCCTTATGTATGAAGAGAAAACTCCATGATTTATCCTTATACTCAGTAGGCAGAGTGTTCGTTTCTTGTTTTCTTTTTCTTTTTATATTCTTTTCATGTAGCTTAGGCTGGCCTTAAACTCACTGTTAAGCTAAAGGTGACCTTGAACTCCTGGTCTCCCTGCCTCTACCTCAGGTGTGTAAGCTCACAGCACCTTGGCCAGCTGATGCAGTGCTGGAAATCTAACCGGGGCCCTGTGCATGCCAGGCAAGCCCTCTACCAACTAAGGTGCACCTCCAGCCATGAGTGAACTTACTTGGAGCCCCAGGAAATAAAGTCCAAATCCTGGGTCCAAAAAAACTGAGCAGGGAGAGTGTGCTTGTAATCCTGGCACCCGGGAGGTGACATTCCGAATAGCCATAGGTAGGGCACGGCTGAAGGCGGAGGAAGTGGGAAGCCTCCAGCTGTGTTTGGAAGATAATGATGAGGGATGGATAATGACCTGAAGACCACTCTGTTGGAAAGCGGGGTGTGAGGACTAGGGTGAGCTACCCACACTGGGTCCCTGAAACCAGGGCATGCGGGTGGGTGGGATCAGGGACAGTTCGGGTCACTGCAGAGGTAGCCCCACCCCCCACCCCCGCTGGCTGTGGGCCTTGAGTTAGCATGCCCTGCATTGCTGCATCTCCCTGCCTCCAGTCAGGCCACGCCATGGGTAGTAAAGCTTTCTTAAGTAATACCCCTGGGCCCCCCCCACCCCCGCACCCAGCCTGTCCCCCAGCCCCAACAACCGTTGCTGCAAATGTGGCATGACTGGATCTGCAGGGCCAAGCGTGTCTGACGCCCTGGTCACTTGGTTTCAGAATCCAAGTCCCTGGACGACTCCGAGGAGCTGGTGATCAATACCACAGCAGCCGTCAACAACCTGTCCTTCTACCAAGTGAAGAACTCCGTCCTGCAACACAAAAAGCTGTATGTTGCTGAACGTAAGGCTCAGGGTTGGGCGTGGCTTCACGGGCGCTCATTCATAAGCACACACCTTCAGGCACTCACAAACCCAGACACTTACAAACACACACCTGGAGGAGTGGCTGTGACAGCTGCCCCACGCACCTCAGAACCTCGAACATGGTAACAACTTGTTTCTTAGTTCTCTTTGAAACAGCCCCACAGTGTGTATCTTTGTGCCACTGGGGGAAAAATGTAACGTTCTCAGTATTTGGTAGATTGGTTTTCTTTCTTTTTTTATTCATTTTTTTTTAATATTAGTTACAGCTTATTAACTTTGTATCCCAGCTGTATCCCACTCCCTCATTCCCTCCCAATCCCACCCTTCCTTCCTCGTCTCCTCCCTGCCCCTTTCTAAGTCCACTTATTGGTGAGGACCTCCTCCCCTTTCATCTGACCCTGGTTTATCAGGTATCTTTAGGACTGGATGCAAAATCCTCCTCAGTGGCCTAGCAAGACTGCTTCTCCCTCCGGTGGGGGGGGGGAGGTCAAAGAGCCCACCACTGAGTTCATGTCAGAAATAGTCCCTGTTTCCTTTACTAGGGTACCCACTTGGATACCATGGGCTACATCTGAGCAGAGGTTCTAGGTTATATCCATATATGGTCCTTGGTTGGAGAAACAGTCTCATAAAAGACCCCTGTGCCCAGATATATTTGGTCCCTGTGGAGCTCCTGTCCTCTCCAGGTCATCTTAATTCCCCCTTCTTTCTTCCCTGTACTCTGCTGAAGGTTTGGTTATGAGTCTTAGTATCTGCTTTGGTACACTGCTAGGTAGAGTATTTCAGAGGCCCTCTGCGGTAGGCTCCTGTCCTGTTACTTGTTTTCTCCTACATCCAATGCCCATCCCATTTGTCTTTCTAAGTGAGGATTGATCATCTTACCCCGGGTCCTCCTCCTTGTTTATCTTCTTTAGGTGTACAGATTTAAGTATGTTTATCCTATCTTATAGGTCTCTATAAGTGAGTATAAACCATGTGTGTCTTTCTGCTTCTGGGATACCTCACTTAGGATGATCTTTTCTAGGTCCCACCATTTGCCTGCAAATTTCACAATTTCCTTGTTTTTAATTGCTGAGTAGTATTCCATTGTGTAGATGTACCACAATTTCTGTATGCATTCCTCAGCTGAGGGATATCTGGGTTGTTCCAGGTTCTGGATATTACGAATAAAGCTGCTACAAATATGGTTGAGCAAATGTCCTTGTTGTGTACTTGAGCATCTTTTGGATATATGCCTAGGAGTGATATAGTTGGATCTTGAGATAGCACTATTCTTAATTGTGGTAGATTGGTTTTCATTCACTCTTACAGACAGTCATAGGAAGAAGTCGAGAACAAAGTCAGCAGTGTAAGATTTAAAACGTGCAAAACTCCCCGAACTCCAGTGGCAGAGGCACAGGTAGAGCTCTGTGCATTTAGGGCCAACCTGGTCTACATTGCGAGTTCCAGGCCATGCCAGGCCTGTGCAAACAGCAACAGACCCACACGAACAAAAACCACACACACAACACTGCCTCTGGGATTGCTTATGTCTATACACTCACACAGTAATGGTAGGGAGTGTACATGGTCCCGGAAGGTCTTCTGAGTTTACTCACTCTCTCTCTATTTGCCGAATCCAGTGCTCTTGAAGCTCCTCGTGAGCAACAACATGGACGGAATCCTGGAGGCCGTGCGCGTCTTCGGAAATCTCTCCCAGGACCTCGATGTCTGCAACTTCCTCATGCAGAAAAATGGTGGGTTGGTGACAATCAAGACCCTAAGCCCATGAGTCTTGCCAGTCGTCAGCCAGTTGGAAGCTTAGGTGCTTAGAGTGCGATACTTGTTTGTGTTTCAGGATGAACCATACTTTACATTTGTCCCCTTTGAGGGGCAGCTCAGGATGATGGGGTAGACCAAGGCTGAGTTCCATCTCCCAGACGCTAGCCTCTTGAATGATAATGTATGCGTGTGTGTGTGTGTGTGTGTGTGTGTGTGTGTGTGTTTAATGGAATCTGCACTCATGATCTCTACTGCTGGGGATTGTTTTCATGCTAGAATATGCTACACTTTGATTGCAACTACTGACTGTCCAGCAACCAAAAGGACAGCTGCAGCAAGTACAGGGCATTCCGTTTTGTAAATATATATGCTCATAAAACAAAATGTTCCACAGCAATTAAGATAAATTATAGACAGTCACAGACAAGTATGCATCAGACATTGGTCAGCATGGACCAACCAGAAACACCTGATGTGGGAGCAGAAAAGCCAGTTATAGTAAGAAATAGAAAATGATGTCACCAGCATAAATTTTAAAATATGCCTCTTCCGCATCCTGCCCCCAGCATACAGGAAGCAGAGGCAGGTGGATTTTTGTGGGTTCAAGGCCATCCTGGTCTATACAGTGAGTTCCAGGCCAGCCAGGCCTCAGTAAACAAGCAAGCAAAACAATCCATGAAACCAAACACCCCCCTCCCCCAAATGCTCACAAAAACTGCCTGAAGTATTGTTTATGTATTTGCATTTAGGTAGGAATGATAGAGAATATGAATGGTGTTTGGAGATTGTTGACTACATTTAAGGAAGGTTTACCATTTAGAGGGGAAGAGATGTCAAAAGATACAATACTGGATTTGCTTTATTGTTTCTTCACTTGCTCGAGTTGATGAATGAGAATTGTATATGTTGCTGGAATATAGTGTGTTTTGGATGCAGTGCTCTGGTTCTTAAGTAGAACCAAATGTTTATGCGAACCATACATCGTCTCACGTATTTCATGTAAGAATGGCAATTTTTAAGAGCTGTCTAGGGGCTGGGGATCTCCCAGTTAGTGAGTGCTTGTGTGGCGTGCACAAGGCCCTGGGTCTCGTTCTCAGGCTGCATAGACCTGGCCTGTTGGTGCAAACCTTCAACCTCAGTGCTTGGAAAGTGGAGGCAGGAGGATCAAAACTTCAAAGTCACCTCCAGCTGCATAGCAAGTTCAAAGCCAGCCTGGATGTCTTAGTTAGGGTGGCTGGTGCTGTGATGAAACACTGTGATCAAAAGCAACTTGGGGACAAAAGGCTTGATTTGGTTTATACATCCTGAATCGCAGGTTATTGAGCAAGATCAATGCAAGGGCTGATGCAGAGGCCATGGAGGGGTGCTCCTTACTGGCTTGCTCCTCGTTGCTGGCTCAGCCTGCTGTCTTATAGTAGCAAGGCCTGGGACCACAACAGGCTGGGTTCTCCCATGTCACTAATTAAGAAAAAATGGCTTCCAGGCTTGCCTGCAGCTAGATCTTACGGAAGTGTTTCTCAGGTGATGCTTACACACACACACACACACACACACACACACACACCTCAGGAGACTATGGCTTGTATTGAGTTGATACCACACTTGAGACCCTTTCTCAAATGAAACACACCAGCCCCACAAACAACAGAGATGCCTAACCGTGTTGATGACAGCAAATGTAAACAATGCAGCCACAGCAGCAGCATGGTGCAGAGCCCCTTATCCCCAGGCCCTGAGAGAACCAGCATTTGGCGGTGCATCCTTTGGGGCCTTCAGAACGTGTGTGCACGGGACGCAGGCTTTGTCGAGCTCACCGTCCAACCCAGTCAATAGGTTGTCATGGATGACAGGGTAACCACTGCTCAGGTGGTTGGTAAATGGATCTGGTGGTGTTCACACCCCATCCACTCCCTGCTCCCTTCACTGGGCCCCTGCTTGGGGGATGAGAAAATGGGACTCACAGTATGTTCCCCTTACTCCGTCCCCTAGGAGTAAGGGGAAATGACTGGCCCACAACCTGCGCTGTCCCTGCACTAGCAGCCCTGTGCTGCGCAGGCCAGTTCCTAGCAGTTCCTAGAGTATCTCCCGTGTTCTGGAGGCTCAGGAAAGATCTCACCAGGACTGGACTCTGCTGCCCCAGGCTGTACATTAGAGCTACAACTGGAGGTTCTAAAAGGCCTCTGAGAACAGCCAAAAGGGAGAAATGTCAGCCATGTCCCCTCCTTCCCACCAGCAGGGGCTCTTCTCCCCGGAGAGAGGCTGCTGCTGGGTGAGTGATGGCAGTAACAGAGCCAGAGACTGAGGGAAACAGGAACGGGCTCTGAGAGCGGCAGGTGTTAGTGGGTCCACAGTGGGAGCTGGAAAAACGTAGGAGGAATGGGTCCATCACACTAGGCACAATCCAGCGTCGCAAGCCGCCTCTTCACTCTCTGCCACCCCTGCTCCATCCCTCACCCCCAAACCTCACCCCATTTGTAAGAGAAGCTGCAGCTGAGACCGTGTCTGGTGTTGCGGGCTCTCACTGGTCCGAATTTGCTCTCTGCCCTCCCAGTCCACAAGTTTATGATGGCCTTGCTGGAAGCCAAGCACCAGGACATTTGCTTTTCCGCCTGTGGGGTCCTCCTGAACCTCACCGTGGATAAGGACAACCACGCCATCCTGAAAGAAGGCGGGGGTGTTACAAAGTAAGTTTCAAGGCAGGAACTCCCGACTGTGAGGGTTCCAGGGGCGTGTTTCTCCTGGGAGGTTGGGCCCTTCCTTCATTCCACTAGAGGGGTGGAGCTAAAAGTGGGGGGGGCGGGCTAGAATCCACTGGACACTTAGCACAACTCAGCGGTCCATAAGTGAAGCTCTGTAGTCAGTTAAACTTGCAGACCTGAACTTAAGTGATGGTTGTGTGGAATTCAGAAGGCTAGCCATCATGCCAACAGTTCAAGACTTGCAGACAACTTCTGACCTACTGTTTGACTTTTCTTACTCAGGTTAGTGAACTGTTTAAGGGATTTCGGTCCCGGTGATTGGCAGCTGGCCTGCCTGGTATGCAAGGCCTTGTGGAACTTGAGTGAGAACGTCACAAACGCATCCTTGTGTTTTGGAGAAGAAGTCACTGACACGCTCCTAGTCCTCTTGTCATCATTTTTAGGTAAGGGCCCTTACGGCGCAAAGCAAACCAAGGCAAGAAAATTGTGTTCTCTGACCTGCTGACATAAAGGTCCCTACACAGCAGCAAAATGCAAAAGATTATGGTGACTTGGAATTCCTCTGAATAGTTTCTGCAGAAGACCGAGTGCTGGTTACTGTCCAAACAGAAGGATTTCTAACTGCCTAGAGCTGGACCTGTCTGTTTCTTCTGTGGCTCCTCCCCTTCATTTTCTTTGATCCCATAAATCCCAGCAGCCACGTGCCTCTGCTGATAAAAGTATAGGCACTGCCATAATTAAGAAAAGCTGCTTTGAATTAAGCCATGTTCTCAGATAAACCTATATATTAATTAGTGATGCTGATTATCACATAGGGAAGGGTCTGTGAAACAACTTGACACTACGGTGGGGTCCCCACACCTGAAAGGCGGGAAAGTGCATAAAGTGAATTATTTTTACAAATTCCTATTCCCCACATGGAGATGAGGGTCCATGATTATCCGCTTCTGTGGGCCAGCAATAGCTACATAGAAAAGGCTCTGGGTAACTAAGAAGCTGTGGGCTTGAATCCCCCCAGCTTACATTTGTGGTGTTGTTTGAATACTGCCTCTGTTATTGCTTGCCTTACTATCTCTAAAACGGGAGGGTGATAAGCCCCATTCAGGCCCAGAACGTTAACTGTGAGGCTCGGACAAGCATCACAACAGAAGCATGATAAAAGACCCAAAGTCTTCCAGCCAAACAGCTCCAAATTTTAGGGTCTTGCTTTTATCCTTCAGACGTTTTTAAACCTTGGGCTTAGCCTGTTGGCCTAGCGACTATTCTGTTGCTGTGATGAGACACAACTCCTGTAAAAGAAAGCATTTGATGAGGGCTTTCTTACAGCTTCTGAGGCTTAACCCATTGTCATGGCGGAGAGCATAGCAGCACGCAGGCAGACATGGTGTTGGAGAAGGAGCTGAGAGTTCCACATCTCCAGGCAATGGGGAGAAGGAGAGACTTGGCCTGGATTGAGCTTTTGAAACCCCAAGTCCCCCCCACCACCACATGCTTCCCTCAACAAGGCCACACCTCCTAAGCCCTGTCAAGGAGCCACACTCTCTCATGACCAAGCATTCAAATCTATGAGCCTACAGAGGCCATCCCTATTCAAACCACCATACCTCTTTAAGTTTATGTTTTTAATGCCCTCTAAATTTGGTTAACCCCTTCATGGTGCCTAGGAGTAAATGCACACTCACACCAATAGTTGAATGCTGTGCCTGATACCAGACAAGATGGCAAGGAGGGCTGATATACTTTATGAATACTAAGGGATGTGGCAGAAAATAACAGATCCAGAGGTTCAGCAGTTACATGAAAGAGTCAGATCTGCTTGGCCATTATGGAGTTTGTCATGAAGGTCTATATAATTTTGTGTGTGTGTGTGTGTGTGTGTGTGTGTGTGTGTGTGTGTGTGAAAATTCAGTGCAAGAAGAAGAATGGGCCTAGGTGTAAATGATTGACGTTCTCAGCGTCCTCGTGAACACGGAGGATTTCCGGGTGGCAGGAAGCCAGGGTGCCTGCACAAGTCGCCTCCGTTCAGTTCCTGTGAGGCCCGAGAACAGAAATCAGCTGTGGAGTTAAGACAGTCTGCCTGGTGCAGCCTTAGCAGTCCTGATTTCAGGGGAGCTGGGCGCCGCCTGGGAAACCATGACTTCAACAGTTCCTTGGCCGAGGCTGAAGTGGCAGCGCCAGCTTTGGGAACCTCTGCTCTGGTTCTTGGTGTTCTAGCCCAGGGAAGGATGTGCAAGAAGGAGGGAGCCAGGAAATCAGACACTGAATGGTTTCCCTGGGCTGCTTGGGAGCCTCAGCCTCAGGGACCTACTCTGGGCCCATCGTCTGGAGGCCCAGCCCTGCCTGGCTAAGCTCCCCTGCTCCCCATTGCCTCCTCTAATCTCATGTTGCTCATGTGTTTCACTCCCTCCTGCTTCCACCTTCCACACCCAGTGTTGACATCTCCCTTGCTGTTGACTCTTTTTAATTAATTAATGCATTTATTTATTCACTTTACATCCTGATCATAGCTCACTCTCTCCCACTCCCACCCTCTCTCCCTCTTCCCCCTCCCTTACCCCTCATAAAAGGGGAGCCCCCCCAACTCACCCCAGCACATTAAGTCAAATCAGGACTGAGGGCGACTTCTTCCCCAACTGTGAGGCAGCTCCACCAGGGGGAAGTAGTCTAACTAACTAACTAACTAACTAACTAACTAACTAACTAACTAACTAACTGCCAACTGAGTCCAAGTCAGAGACAGCCCCTACTCCCCTTACTAGGGAACCCACATGAAGCCCGAGCTGCACATCAGCTACATCTGTGTAGGAGGCCTAGATCCAGTCCAGGCATGATCTTTAGTTGGTGTTTCAGTCTCTGCAAGCCCCTCTGGTCCCTGGTTAGTTGGCTCTGTTGGT